CTGTGTGTTTTCCCAAGTAGCCGCCAGACCGCTGGACACCCACACAGCGTTTACAGGCTTCCTTCATCTTCCTTTGATTCCAGAGGTGTGCCTTTTAATCATGTGCCTTCCTGACCGATGTGGTGATAGGCAGGCTCACGTGTCAAGGTGTCGTTCCAGTGGTTAGAGTTAGGTGTATACCCAGAGATGGGGACCCGTCCAACACCACGTATCCAGTGTGGCTCAAGACTAAAGGACCTGCCAAGTTCTTTTTTTCCATTTCTTTTTTGAGATGTGGAGTTTCATGCTATGGTCGCCCCAGCTGGAGTGGCATAGCGCGATCTTGGCTCACTGCAGCTTGTTAGTATTAATTTACCGTAGCAAATGTGAGCTTGTCCCAGGTTTATGCAGGGCAGTGATGGACTGAAAAAGACCAGGGTGGGAGAGGGAGGAAGAGATCTTCTCTTGGCCCTTTTGTGGAGATGTGGAGCTGACCCTCCTGTCTCAGTGCCTATCTCGGTCCACTTCCTGAACATGCGACAGTCCCATTCTTTTTTCACTCCTGTCTAGCGCAGCAAACATTTGGGCATCTGTGCCCTCTGTAGAGGGCTGGACACTCTATAGAGGTTCAGCGAGGATAAGACTGAACCCCTGTCCTAGGGAGGTGGCACCTTGATGGGGATCCCAGCTATGGTGCATTTCTGTATGTAGGTGACTGAATGGCAAAGGGAAGGTGATAGGTCCTAGGGTAGCTCTGCATGTCACACAGGGTGGAGGCTCAGGAAAGAGAACAGGCGGCCCTACTGGGAAGACATGGGAGGGTTGGCAACATTGACTGATGGGAGGGATATTGACCAGAGGGGAGTGGTGAGGAATAGAGGGATTACTCCCCAAGTCTTTTTATGTTTTGTTTTGTTTTGTTTTTGAGACAGGGTCCTGCTCTGTCACCAGGGCTGGAGCTAAATGGCATGGTCTCAGCTCACTGCAGCCTCTGCCTCTGGGGCTCAAGTGATCCTCCCTTCTCAGTCCCTGAGTAGCTGGAACTACAGGCATGCACCACCATGCCTGGCTAGTTTCTGTTGTATATTTTGTACACCATGTTGCCCAGACTGGTCTCGAACTCCTGGGATCAAGTGATCTGCCTGCCTTGGCCTCCTGAAGTGCTTGGATTAGGTGCGTGAGACACTGCGTCCAGCCACACTCCCCAGATCTTTGCTTTAGAGAGGCACTCTCCAACCCAGGTGTCACTCACCAACACATAGCTTCCTAAATTTAAATAACATTAAAAATTCAGTTCCTTAGTTGCACTACCCATATTTCAGGTATTTATTAGTCACATGTAGCCAGTGACTGCTGCACCAGACGACGCAGCCATAGGTTGTTCTCAGGGTTGGTCACTGCCACCTCAGATACATTCTGGGCCCAATTCTGGTCCCCATGAAGGCTTGGTATATTAAGATTGCAGCTGTAACACATTTCCAATTTTGGAAGGTCTGTGGTTTGAGATTCCTTTATATCCAGTGAATGATACATATTTCTATCTTTTCTTGGATCTTAGAGAGGGGATGAATTGAAATATTAAAGAGGTGGCTGGCCACGGTAGCTCACGCCTGTCATTCCAGTACTTTGGGAGGCCGAGGCAGGTGGATCAACTGAGATCAGGAGTTCAAGACCAGCCTGGCCAACATGGTGAAACCCCGTCTCTACTAAAAAAGACAAAAATTAGCTGGTCTTGGTGGTGGATGCCTGTAATCCCAGCTACTTGGGAGGCCGAGGCAGGAGAATCGCTTGAACCCGGGAGGCGGAGGTTGCTGTGAGCCGAGATCATGCCACTGCACTCCAGCCTGGGCGACACAGAGCAAGACTCCATCTTGGAAGAAAAAAAAGAAAAAAATATTAAAGAGGCAATGGTTCCTAGCTTTTCTAGGTGTTCTTTTCCTAAAGAAAGAAAATACAAAACCTGCCAGAAATCTCAGAATGTCCACAGGAAAGATCGAAACACATCAGGTTGACTACGTTTGTTTGCTTGTTTTCCAGCCAGTAACCCTTTGCAACCCTTGAAATGTGATCTTTTCCTTTTGGACCCTAGTTGAGGGTGGCGGAGGGCTGGGGGCTGCCTCAGCTGTGGCCGTGACCACGAGCCTGGTCCTTGACTCTCTCCTTCTCTCCTTCCCCGCAGTGGGCGGTGAGATCCCCCTAGACATGCGGCTCGGGGGCGGGCAGCTGGTGTCAGAGGAGCTGATGAACCTGGGCGAGAGCTTCATCCAGACCAACGACCCGTCGCTGAAGCTCTTCCAGTGTGCCGTCTGCAACAAGTTCACGACGGACAACCTGGACATGCTGGGCCTGCACATGAACGTGGAGCGCAGCCTGTCGGAGGATGAGTGGAAGGCGGTGATGGGGGACTCGTACCAGTGCAAGCTCTGCCGCTACAACACCCAGCTTAAGGCCAACTTCCAGTTGCACTGCAAGACAGACAAGCACGTGCAGAAGTACCAGCTGGTGGCCCACATCAAGGAGGGCGGCAAGGCCAACGAGTGGAGGCTCAAGTGTGTGGCCATCGGCAACCCCGTGCACCTCAAGTGCAATGCCTGTGACTACTACACCAACAGCCTGGAGAAGCTGCGGCTGCACACAGTCAACTCCAGGCACGAGGCCAGCCTGAAGTTGTACAAGGTAAGGCCCAGCCCCTTATGGCTCAGGCGCCCTTTCTGAAAGGAGAGGGTTGCGCACCGGGGAGTTAGGGAGCACTGCGGAGGAGTCGGACAGTCTCTGGCATGGCCCGGGTGGCTGTGGGTTGGGAACCTGGAGTGGAGAGGAGAGTCGGCAGTGTCCACTTTGTCACCAGATGGAAATGTGACAGGTTCAGTGAGTAGCTTGAGTAGCTGAAGGTTCTCTTTTTGGATGCCCAATTTGGGGGCAGGTTTTGTTGACAGCGCCTCTAGGGTTGGTTCTTTTCTTTCTTACATGGGCTCTTTTGCATCCTCTGCTCCTGTGGTTTCCCTCTCTCCTTTAGGCTTTCTGTTCTCCTTTTCCATCTCTTTATTCCTTTTTTTTTTTTTTTCTCCTTTCCTGGATGCTCCTGGGGTGTTTTGTTCCTCCCTTCCTTCTTTCATCCATCCATCATCCCACCAACAAATATACACTGGGTACCTTCTCAATGCCAGGTACTGTTCTGGGCACGTGTCCACATCAGTGCATGAAATTGACCAAATAAATAAATAAATAAATAAATAACCCTGCCCTCATAGAGCTTCCATTCTTTTAGCAAGAGATGGGTGAGAAATGATGAATAAATTATGTAGCAGGCTAGAAGGTGCTAAATGCTGTGGGGAAAATGGGGTCCATAAGGGGCCATTTTTGTCTCCCCCCCCACTTTTGTGCTTCCTGGGTTCTGTGTCCTCCTTCTCTTTCTTATACTTTTTCTTCCTCTTCCTGGGCTTCTCCCATCCTCCCCCTTTCCCTTTGTCTCTTCTCCTCTTCCCTCTTTCCTGTCCATTTATTCTTTCTGTCCCCCCACCCCACTCTTTCCCCCCGGCCCTTCCCTCTACTCCATAGACGGTAACCGAGGAGGAGGTGCTCCGGATACTGTAAATAGTCCTTTCACTTGCACGGCAGAATTGCTCCAGACGTCTCTATTGATTTTCACTGGACTTAAAGCCTCACCTTTTTCTCTAATCATCCCATAATGGCTTTAGTATGAACAATCAGGTACAAATCGCCATAAATCTCCCCGGCCTCATCCCACACACTTTCCACTCCCTCACTCTCTCTTTTCATTTTGCTCACTCCCATGATCATCTTCTCCTACTTTTCACACCGTTTCTCACGTCTTTGGGCTCACGAGTGTTTGGTTTCTGCTGGCCCTGAGCTAGTTGAGTCCCTGCTCTACTCAGCATGATTTTAAATGGAGATTCCACGTGGGGAAGACTTCTAGTCCTTTCCCCACATCAGCCTCTGCCGGGATTGATAACTGTACTTCATTTTACAGTTGCTTCTTCTCAGGGTGTGGGGAGGCCTGCGTAACGCAGTGCTTAAGAAAGCACTTTAGGGAAAGGAGGGAGAAAGCAGGAATGAGGTAGAGGGGATAGAATGTTCTGGAATTGACTGTGGACTCTGCTATGGTGCAGTGAGGAAGGTCTGGACACCAGGCAGCCAATCCCCTTATCTCAAATGAGCAAGAACCTTGCTGGACTGGTTTAGTTTTGTGCCACCATTAAAAGAAAAAAGCTCTTTGCAGTCAGTTTAAATTGGAGGTCTGAACTGGCCACAGGATGGTGCCGACGTGGTCAAGAAAACCTGATGGAAAAACCAGTGGAAAAAAGAATTTCCAAAGGACCCAACTGAGTAAAATTTGTACAAAGGACTCGGCGTGGCCATTGAAGGTTGCATGCAACTTTGATGAAGGTCGTTTAGAGGTGGCACGAAGCTGGCCTCTTGCATCCAAGGAAAAAATTGCCCTTTAGATTCTAAAATGCACACGGTGGCGATTAACTCTCACGCTGCATCCTCCGTGTGGCTGGAGTCTTGAATAAGAGTCTATCAGGCACTTGACTTTGCTTCTAACGGGCCTGGAACTTGGAGGATTTGCTGAGAACCTCCTGTTTTGGTCCCCAAACCATGTCCACGATCACACCCAGAGAGTCAGGGTGAGGTGTGGATGGAAGAGACGCGGTTTATTTGCGTGTTTCTGCACTGCTAGCCTGTCATCCTGGGACTTTTTTCCTCATTTCTTTTTTTAAGGTAGAGGAAACTGTTGCTCAAAAAGATGGCGTGGGTAGAAGGGTCCTGAGTGTTGGGATGCAGGGTAGAACGTGGACCCAGCACCCGAAGGAGAGATCCCGAAATGGTGCATCTGGCCGGCACATCCCCGGGGTGACCAGCCCCTGAGGTTCAGGGCAGAATTGCCTCCGTCAGGAGCCAAAGGTCGTTAGTCTAGTCTCATTAGTCCTTGGGTAATGAATGGCCCTGTGCCTGCCCGGGCTCCGCCACGGGGCGGGGAGCTCTCCTGCTCACTCCTGAATGACACCGCTGGGATTATCATTCCAGTGCTCGCCCTGAGCCCTTTGGTCCCTCAGTACGACTAAGATCAAACTTCTCTTGCCACTAAGGGGGGCTCCCTCTCATAAGGTTTCATCATTCCATGAATTTAGGGTGGGGATTGGAGGTGGTTTGAGAGTCACTTTTTCTCTAGGCCCTGGTGTGGCCTGTAGTAAATGGAGATTGATTGCATGTTATTTTTCCTCTTGCTAATGTAATCCATTAGCCCGGCACATGCATAATCAGTTTAGAGCACAGTTAACTGGATGTAATCGAGTTCTTTACTGTCTGCTAGAGAAACCGCTCCAGATGCGGCTGACCCGGGGAGCTGACCGGGCTTCTCACACACAACCCTCCTTACTCACCCCTTCCCCCTTCCCCACCCCACCCTGTCCCGGTTCCCTGGCACATTATTCATGATCAGCCAGGGCGGCTCTCCAAAGCTACTCTCCGCGGCACCTAGTGAAGTGGCGGTGATGTATGTGGCTTCCCGGTGGCCCTCCCAGCCCTCTCTTTCAGCCGAGGCTTTTATTCTCCTCCTGTTCCTTTTTCATGTTGGAGGAGACAGAGCTGCATTCTCAGGAGATTCAAGCAGTGGCATGGCTTTTGGTTTGTCGTCTGACCTCACCCTGGGCGGGAGTCACTGTCCTTGCTGTCATACATGCCAGTGCATAGGTTGCTATGTTAAGAGGGAACTTTCTGAAAGTGTGAGATAATTTTTAATCCAGAAATGTGAGAGGGTTGTGCTAATCTACAAAACTTGATGGTATTGTCTTCGTTGCCTGGAATGGTATAGTTTTGATTTTTGTGTGATACTAATTTATAAATCAGGATTAGGTTCAACCTGTTTTTCTTCTGCACCTCCTGGAAGTAGAGTGGAGTGGGGGAAGGCTGCAGAGCCCGAGGCATCTGAGGGAAACCCCCTTACCTTGTCTCTGGGCCCCAAGTTACTTCTGCAAAGTGCTCCTGATTGAAATCCTTGGGATCTTTTGGGCTGAAGCAGTGGCCGGCTCTGGCCCAGCCCCTAGTGCTCACATGTCCATGTCCTGACACTTACCATCTTGGGATCCCTGTGATTGGCTGACATAGCAAGAAGCCCAGAGACTCCAGTGAAGCTTGGAGACTGGGCTCTGTCTGTCCTTAGTGACCCATTTGAGCCAGAATGGAAAAGGCACTTGTCTCTCACTGAGACTGAGCTCCAGCTTCCTTAATTCCTCATCCTTCTGCTTTCACATGTAAATGTATCACTCCTTTCTCAGAGGACTACACCCTGGCCCCACTCTCAATGTTCTCCACCCACAGAGATAGATGTGGGTGCCCTCGCTCCTCAGAACTAGGAGAGCAGCTGTCACTGACACATGCTTGCCCTCTGCCCTTTCCCACGGCTAGTGTAGAGCCTGCATCTGAGCCATGTGGGTTCAGAGCTGGCACGAGCTCTTCCACGTTTATCTTGCATTCCCAGCCAAGTGACGTCTATGGTGAGCTCTCTGAAATGTGTGCTGCTTTCTGCCCGGAGGAGGAGGGGCCACAGAAAGGGCAGTTGGAAATCAGTGCACACTCCCGCCATCTCCCAGAATCTGTTTTTCACTTTGATGTTTTTCTTCACCTGAGAGTCGCTGGAATGGAAATCTGTCAACTTTAGCAGATAGATTAAGGCCCCACCAGAATCTGTTCCTCCAAACAGTTTCCAGCTGGGGTTCCTTTGACTGGACCAAGACTGAAGGTTGCCTATTAATCTTAAATACTGTACAAAGAGGGTTGTCTACCACAGTGTTGGGTCTGGGCCACATGTGAGCAGCCGTGGGCCAACGGGGCACACAGGAGAGGAGAAGGCAGTGTGCAAGCCAACTGTGCTTGGCCTGAAGTAGGAGGTAGAATGTGGTATTGATTCATGCACATGGCCAGATTCTCCACATAGAGGACGTCTGCTCATGCCGTTTTAGGAGGATTGTGCAGTATGGGAGGATGTAAGAAAACCTCCATCAGACTTTGCATTGCTTTAGAACCCATCTTCTCAGTTCTTTCCCTGATGCATGAGAAACTCATTGGGACTCACATTCCCAGCAGGGCCATAAAATCATCGTATGGTAGACGGGCATATCAGACAATGTAGGCGAAGTCAGACAGCGATCTGGTTCGAAATCTGCATTCTTGGTGCTCCTCTGTGGGGGTGTTAGGAAGACAGCTGCACACTTTACGTCTGTAGGTGGTGCCTGGAGGCGTTTGCCTTCCACTGAGAGCAAAAAGTGTACATCCTTTGGGGAGCGTCCCCTTCCTCCCTCCCGTGCTGCCTTCCCAGCTTGGCTGTGTGTTTGAAGCTCTGGGGAAAGTGTCATATGGTTCGCATCGGGATTCTGGAGCCAGTTTCCTCAAACCTTGTTTTCTCATTATTAGACTATTTTGTTCTGTTTTGTTTTAAGTACATACTTCCGCCACCTTTCCTCCCTGCCTTGGTGCCTTCAACCAGAAAATGAAAGGAAAGAAATGTTTTTATGCAGGTGATTTCGAAGGTGTGAAAGGCCAGATGTTTTGGTGAATTTTAGCAGATTTCGCCCTCGTGCTCTCCTTCTCCTGGAGCAGCTGGAGGCCTGAGGTTCGTCTCCATGGCTTGATGGTCGGTGCTGGTGGGACATGGG